CAATATTAGTATAAGAAGATGGTTTAGCATAACTAAAAGTATTATTACAATAAATATCATGACCACCACCAAATGTTGGACCATAATCTTGATAACAACAAATAGCATATTGAGCATTACTATTAATAATATAACCTACTTTTGCAGTTTGAATGTTTGTTCTATTTGCGAATGAGAATATAAAACTATCATCAGTTGACTTATAATTTTCACATTGATCCCATACAAGTGGGTTATATCCTCCCACTATTTGTTCCGTTCCCTTAATTTTTACTATAACTATAGTAGCCCCTTTGTTATCACATTTTTGATGAAATGCTGCAGGTGTATTGCCATCCCTACTGGCACGATAAAGTAAGTCAAACTTATAAGGAATCCTTTTTTTTTCGTAATGTAAATTTTTTTTCTTATCGATCCAACTAGAAAATATAGCAAAATGCCGAGGTTCAACTAAGATTGAATCATATTTTGACTGTTTTGACAGTCTAGGTGGTTGCATATCGATATTAGTTTTCTTATTTGGTGCCAAATAAAATGCTAACAGGTTAATAACCTGATCCTTCGGTAGTAATTCTCTATAGGGAAGTATTTTTTCAAGAAAATCTTCCGAAGACATATGATGAAATCTAATTAAAGGAATATATCTATGAAGAGTTCTTTCCATAATTGTAATTTCTTCGTTGCTCCATTTGCTAATGTCTTTAGGAATAGATGGATTCAGAACAAAACTCCACTTAATTAAACTATCCCAGATATCAATTTCATCTAAACTTAAATCATCCCGTTTTAAAAGGAATTCTAATAAAGGTGCTGTTATACTGATAAATTTATCAGAATTAAACAACACTTTGGGATCTTCACAGATTTTTTCAAGATAAAAATTCCATAATTTTGTAAACGCTTCATGTTGATAGATTATTTCAATAGTTCCTATAGGATTTTTTTGTAAAAACTCATGATGGTCTTTAATTAAATATTCTTCAATTCTGGAAATTAAAGGTTGTAATTTAAGTGCATCTGCTGCGATTGACAGCTTTAATAACTCAGGTCCTTCTACCTCCTTCGTCAAGTCAATCTTTCCACAATAAATAAATCTGAAAAATTTATAAGAAATAATATATTATATTAATAATTTGTTTTTATATTTAATTGATTACACATGTTTTATTTACCTTAAGATAATTTTGAAATGATGTGGAGAAATATTTGGAATATTTAAAACAAATTTTCCATCCCTTTTCTCAACATTTTTTTTAGTTAGTTCATCATGAAAATATTGCGACCTGATACATAAAATATTTGAAAGTGCGTGCAGTTCTTTGGCGCTTTCACCTTTACCGGCATTTATAATAACATCATATCTTTTGTCAGTTTCAAGTAATTTTTCTAAATCATTAATAACTTCTTGCCAACACTCTAAAGACATTTTTTAGTTATAAAAATGAAAGGAAAAGAAAAAAAACCATTTAATGACTTGATTAAAATTTATTTAACTAAATTTAAACAATGCAGAAGAGTCGACGTTACACTACACTAAACGATCGTTGTTGAATATTTCTGTAGCACAGTGATTTGAAAAATTCAAATATTTTCTTTTCTTTAACTCTTTTATAAAATTTCTAGTGTATTATTTCGAAAAATAATGCCAAAATATGTAGCAAACGCACACAAATATTTAATTTTGAATGTAATCATTAAAATAACATGTTTAGCATAAAAATGTATCTAAACATTGAATTTTCAAATAATTTGGGCAAATAAAAAAGTACGACCAATGAATTAGTGGATTAGAAAATTTAGAAATTAGAATAATTAAACATGTTCAACCTACATCATAGAAGTTATAACAACATTTCACTTACATTCTTGGACATATGAATTACTTGCTAACGTTCAAAGTCCAGAAAATACAAAAAAAATGTGATAAACACGATATTGAGAATCTCTTCGAAAATTTATTTCATTAATAAAATTTATCATAATTCTTTAAAATACACCTAATATAAATAAAATTTATAATTTTATATCCCTATATATAAAAATAAGAGATTAACTGCTTTGTAAAGTCAAAAAAATTAACAATTGAATTCGTAACATTAGTCTTCATTTACGAATAAAGATTTCTTCACCTGATTTGTTGTGGGTCATGATTTGATTTATTTTGATAATGTTGGTGTAACATTCTCTTAACATAATTTCCAAAAAATTCTTGAGGAACAATTTAAATTTGCATATATTGCTTGAAATTTTGATAGGTATATATTTTTTATCCTTCCTTCTCATTCTCCCTAAACTTTTTAAGGCACGACAATTGTAATCCAAAAACAATAACTCCGGATTTTTTAGTATTCGTGTCTTCTCCTAGCAATTTCTAACAAATAATAATATATATATATATATATTTTTATAATTGAGACGGTTAAAAAATCCAAAAAAAATAAAATACATAATAATTTTACCCGTAAATATAAAGTAGTAGCTTCAGTTGCCGATTTCTTTGAGATCACTTGAAAATTTTCATCTTTTTTCATCCAATCAATTTTAAAAATTGGATTATGATTTTCATCATAATTAATTGAACACGTAATAATTTGTTTCACGCTACGACCATAAGTAGTTTTAATTTTGTAATTGGTTGGAATAGGATATGGCCTCATTCTCTTGTCTCCTCGTGTCGTTTTAAATTCATTAGGATAAAACCCGACTTCAATTACTTCATAATAAAAGGTGCCACCATTACTACGTTTTTGATATTTAATATGTGGATCTTCGGGATAATTTTCTGTTTCATAATTTTCAAATGATTCCATCTATTATTTGATGTGATTGCAAAAAAAAATCTTTATAACAATTGAGAGTAAATGCGAAAGAGAGCAATTTTCTGCAGAAATTTAAAGTGAAATATTTATTAAAAAAAAAAGCGCTTGTGTCACGAATGTAATAAACATGCATCATACCCGATTATGTATAATTTCAAGTTTTACAACTAGTTGAGGAAAAAAAAACTGCTATTTTGATTTTACCCGAATAAATTTAGATCTATTAAATAATAGATAGATAATGTAATGATTAATTAAGTTTAAAAATTGATGTTGAAAAATTTTCATTATTTTTATTGCTCAAATAAACGATTTTTGTTAGAGAAAAAAAAAATTATTAATACTTATATGAAAATTATGGTTATCACCATCACAAAACACGCCGATCCATGAAAATTGACTACAAAGAATTTTTTTTTTACACGATTCTGGTACATTAAATTAATAATAGCAAAGGATAAGTATTTTGGGAATATTTAGTGTGAATTTTCGTAAATTACGGCGTTAACTTTTATTAGGGAATCCATGCGTTTCGACTCCTAAGAATTGTAATTTTTAAAGGTTTAAATAAAAAATCTTTATTTAGTAATCTAAAAGAAATTTTAAAAATAACTTTTTGTATTACCTATTACTTTGGAAATGAATTTTAAATTTAAATTAATTTAAATTTCACATGCTACTCTTAAAATTTGTACTAAAACTGGAACCATTTAAAACCTTTTGACATAATTATAATTTCTAATAAAGATATATGAACGTGATAATTACAAAGTTTATCGAATGTTAGTTATTTTTAAAATTTGGGTAGGTTACATGATTCTTCGCTAGGCTTTAATTCTTTATTGAGTTTATAATTGACATTAAAGAAAAGAACCTAATGAACTCGAAATATTTTTACAAAAATTGTCCTCACCTGCCTTTCTCGGAGTGATAAGGATTTAAATTTAATCTATAATACCTTGATAGATTTTAGAATTACTTTAAACGTTAAATATAGTATAGTTATAATCATTTCAAATGGATTTATATTTTATTAGAAATTATGAAAAAATTAGAAACTAATAGAATAAAAAATAAATAAAGAAATATTATTCAATCAACCTTTTGATTTATAATTTATCCGAAATTAAGAAACGTCTTAGTTCATTTTCTTATCTTCAACAAATTTTTTGTCTTCTATCATATCATTTTTTTTTTATTTTTTTTTGATTTCAGCTATACCATCAAAGGGATTATCTCAAAATTTAAAGCAATTCAAATTTCTCATTTTCTTTCAACATTAGACATTTACCTATATCGAGATAATCATAAGGAATTACTTTACTAGTCCAGTTATTGAAAACTTTGGCATTAAATCCTTTTCACCATTTTTTCTACTTTTGATTATCAATATTTTAGTAGTATAGACGCGTCGACAATATTGATTGATTAGAGCAGAGATCACAAATCTTCAAATCAGGAAAATCTTACCAGCATTATATGCAAATTACCTTAGTTGGGTTGATATAATATACTGTTATATCAGATATTTTTATCTTTATTTTTTATTTCAAAAAGTCTTGTAGAAATATATTACTTCAACAACACTTTATCTTCAACTTTGAATCCTTTTATTCTACTTGAAAAGGCCGAGGATAGAAATAAATGAAATAATTAAAAATAAATTCGTTAAGGAATCCGTTGCAGTTGCTGAGCGGATTTATTTGACCTCAAACTTACTAATGAATGCTGTATTCAAACTCTAGTCCTCTCTTATCTAAATTAAAAAATTTAGTTCAATTAAATCCATCTCATTCATTAATTAAAAAATTTGCATTAAGATAAATTACTGATTTTTAAAGTTTATTATAGATAATCAAATTTATTAATTATTAAATTGCTTAATAAAAATGGCTGCAATTAACATACAGTATATATCAGAGATTTTTAGACATTGAACTTCAATACTTTCTTTTCATATAAGCATTATGTTTCGCAATCAATATTAATATAAAAAAAAAATAAAGAAATGAAATCAGAAAATATTTGCATTTTTAATAACAATAAAAAACCATTGAAAGAAAGATTCTATTTTTTCCTTGTATATTTATTTACATTTCAAGAAGATCGTGATTTTTTTGTCAAAAACAGCAAAAACAAAATAATGCGGTTGCCTAGACCTCAGAATAAAATTACGTCATGTTATCTTTTAAATATTTTCATTAACAAGCCTTTTTCATAATAAGTTTCTACATTTTTAAATCCTTCAGATTTTTGTAACCAATTAACAAAATTTCCATAATCATTGTCTACGTCAATTTTCTCACCGTTTTCATTATCCTGCTCACTAAATGTCCAAGCCTCTTTAATCTCTCCAACTTTAACCTTTACACTGTCACTTAATCCTAAACAATCTCTTGTTAAGCCATATTTATCAACAAAATCACCAATTCTTTCCTTTATCTTATAACCGGCACGCTCTTTCGTGTCTGTCCATTTTTTAATATAATTATTAATAGATTTACAACACATAAATGATAAACTAAGTAAATTTTTACAAGAAAATATACAGTCGAATCTATCTTCTTGTTTGAATTTGCACGATGTAAGTTGAAGGTGACAAATTTGTTGAGAGTTACAAAATATGAAATTAATTAAACGCGAGAATTTCATATTGGTAAAGTGAATTGTTGTTAGTGTCGGTTTTGATGTCATCAATAGATCAAGCGTTTGATAAATTCTAAACTTTGTCCTTTCCATATTTAGAAACTCCATATTTAAGGACTTTATATTTTTACTTTCTTTTAAAGCGTCTAAAAATCCAGATCTAGATAATACACCAGAAAATGCTATCACTTTGACTTCATTAACATTCTCACATAACAATTTCATGAACCTTTTGTTTCTTAGTAAAACATCATACTCTTGATCCTTGAAACATTTAAATGTCAATTTCTTTATGATACTATCATATTTAATGAACACATTTAATATTGACGAGAGTAATGTTTCGGTTCGAATTTGAATGATTTCCTTTATAATTGATGAAGTTAGTTTTTGTTCGTTTCGTTTTGTGGATCTCGGAACAAGTGACATAAGCCTTTGATCTCGAATTGTTGATGGTTTATATGTAATATTTGTATATAGGTCCGTGAAAATCGTTGTTTCGTATAAAGTCCTGTTTGACATAGTGATTAATGAATTAGGTTGTGAGTTCTCTTCCATATTTGCGCTATTGGAATTGTCTTTCTCATCAAAATTTACTTTAACAACAAATCTTTTCATATTTGTTTCTTTATCTCCTTTATCTTCAGAAATCCAAATCACAACGGTATTATATAATTCATAACTTTTTTGATCAATATAATCATCAACCATACGTGTCAAGTTGTAATAATTCATGTCTTCAATAAAGCTAGGATAATTGAACAAGTTTCTTTTTCCTTGATTTTCCTTGTATTCTTTAACATCGATACCTAAATCAATTAATTCTTGAATTTGTTCTTTATCAAAAAATTTTAATAATATTTCAACAAAATTCACGGAATCAATATGATCGGTTATTGATTTATAAAGCAATGGAATCGTTATAATACACCAATGCTTATTAACTAATGCACATGAATGGTAAGATTGTAATGGGTTACTTTGGTCATTTTGAATATTGTCGGAACGAATTTGATTCAAGATTTGTAATAAGATGTCCGCGTGTAATGTTGATGCAATTGAACTTTTTTTGCGAACGTCTCCTTTCTCGGGTATGTCTGTTGAAGTTGTGAATCGAGGAACCATTATGGATTGTTTTTTTTTGAATTCTTTGAATAATAGAAATAGATTTTGTGTTTATGTGAATGTTATAAAAAAGAAGGAATTCTATTTTGTTCACACGCTTCTTAAGGTATTTTATAGAAAATCGAAGTTTGAAGCAATGATCTGCGTCAAATAACTGAGGTCAGGAGATCTTTTTTACATAATTTTAAGAATTACGTTACCTTTTGTGACACATCATAACATGACGTGATCGTTCTATGAATTCTTCCGAATTAGTATAACTTGTCACTGTCACTTTTTTCACTTATATAAACTAGGAAACAAAAAGTCCTTAGAACGTTAGAATGTTGGCAAGTAGCCGCGAAACTGACGAAGAATATGATGTTATCATATACGCCGGTAAAAATAAAATCGTTAAAGTATTTCATGCTCTTTCAAATGTCGCAATATCTTCGTAATGAACTAACTAAAAAATTGTTGAGAAAAGGGATGGAAAATTCACTTTGAAAATACCAAATATTTCTCCACAACTTCTTAAACTAAAACTATCTTCAAAGGTAAATAAACAAAAAAAAAAGTTGAATTTTTTTTTTTCTTTTTATACAAATTTCAGATTTATATATTGTGGAAAAGTTGACTTGACGAAATTCCCAAGATCAAAGAATATTTAATTAATAATGACCATCGTGATTTTTTTACAAAAAAATCTTATGGGAACATAAATTATGCAATTTTTATCTTGAAAAAATGTGAATATCCCGAAGCGTTGTTTAATTCTGTGTAAAAGCATCTTTATTGGAATTACTTTTGAAACAAATGATTTAAGTTTAGATTAAATTGATATTTGGGATAGTTTAATTAAGTGGAGTTTCGCTCAGAATCAGTTTATTCCTAAAGATGTCAATAAATGGAACAAAGAAGAAACTACAATCATAGAAAGAAATCTTCATAGACATTATATATCTTCGGAAGATTTTCTTGAAAAAGTACTTCCTTTAGAGAATTGCTACCACAAGAAATGTTTAATAGAATAGTACCTTTGCATTTTATTTGGCACCAGACAAGAAATTAAATATCGATATAACCACCTAGGCAGTCAAATGTGATTCAATCCTGGTTAAATCTCGGCATTTTGCAATCTTTTCGAGCTGGATAGATAATACTAAGAACATGAAGAACAAAATAATATATGGTATAGAATAAAAAGAAGCAAGAATTATGCACTCAAACCAATTTCTGTAGTTCATTCATAAATCCAATTTTCGAATTAGTATGAATTTCTTAATAAAGAATGGTTAAAAATTCTGCATAGTTATTCATAGTAAGGGAATCCAAATCACCATACCTTTTTTTTTAGATTAAACTATATATCTGATTCTTTAATAGAAATATTAATTGTTAACTATCCAGCTGATTTATCGAAAAAGGTGGTTTCCTGTTGACTTTCTTCTAATTGATGAGTGGTTTTCTATGAAACTACCCTTGACAAATACGTTATTTTTTTTTTAATTAAAATATATGCATTACAAGAATTCAAGTTAATTAAATAAGTTATAAAATTGATAATTTATGTTCCTTTATAAAGTTTTTCACTTTGATTTGATATCTTACTTGAATGGCAATATACAGTTCGTAAAAAAAATTGTTTTTTTGCGGAAATACCAGATAAAATTTGTACATTTGAATTATAAGCTGAATAGACAAATCTATTAGTTGATCGTGAATTAAGAGTAAGCCTAGACTCTAACATCACATTGTCATTTAGATTCCAAACAATTAAAAGTACCGAATGGCCATTATCTTGTTAAGATCTCATCTGGATACGAACTTGCATATATTCCACTAAACGTAGAAAAGGAAGCAGTGGACAACCATAACAAAAACGATCAATGAGGGAGTGAAAATTTTGTGAAGAATCTAAATTTTGGAGGACACAAAATCTGATGCAGCAAAAACTACAAAGTTCGACACGTTGCATGGTGTTCGTTCGATCTTCTCGCGAGTTTCATCAAAACAAAATATAACTCTTGAACAATTTTTTATCTCATCATATACCTTAATTTGGTGATCACCCGTAAGGTTCTGCCTACTTTTGATGACATTAATGTGTGCGATAATATGCTTCGTCCGAGCTTATAGGAGTTCACGAGTTTGAAATAGATAGTTCGTTCGAAACACAAGGTGTCATATTATTTCGTCTCCAAAAATCTTTACTCTAGTTTGCCATCCATCTGATCTACTCTACAAAGACATCTCTTGACGTTATTTTTTATTTTTTTTTTTAATAAGAATGGTACCTTTGCAACTTAAGAAACAGTCATCAGTTAAGTCAATCTCCATCATTATGAAATACTTTAGTTCGATTAAACATGTAGAATCTGCTATTAACATAAAAAAAGGGAAAACTTTAAATCTTATCTAATTTTGGACAAATATAAAAATTTTCCATATTTAATAGTTAATTATATTAAATGCATCAATATATTCTACTCTTTCAAATCTTTCAAAATATCTAGCGATCAGATAGATAAAGGTAATCATTTGGAAACGACAGGCATTTTGTAGCTTAATATAGGAAATAATACAACGATGTATAAAATAAATTATAAAAGTGGTAAAATGAAATATTTCTCAAATAAGCTTAATATTTTACCATTCATTTATTCATTTTGATTATTGATGAAACGCGAAATGAACCTACCTTCTTGTAAATGTTCATCTTTTTTTTTTGTATTACTGTCTAAATTTTTCAGCTTTCCATGCAACTTCCAAATTTTGTTTCGCTTCCCTAATATTTTTAGTCAAAAAAGTTCACTAGAAGTAATTAAAAAAAAAAAGTAATATAGTCATTATTACATTATTAATTATCGTGAATATATATTTTATTTGAATTTTAGTATAAAATTTTCCATTTTACTTATTATTTTTTAATAGATTTTTGGTGTGAAAACGATATCTATTTTTTATGCTAAAGTAGTAATTCAGAAGACGTCAACTTTACTTCTATATTTAATATTATAGATCATCGCCCAATGCAAAAAGTCTACAATAAAGTTTATTTACAAACAAAATAAATATTATCTTCGCAAAATTTCTCGGAATATTTGTTTATTGATGAATGTAAACAACCTTTTCTTCTTTATATGGTTAATAAAATAAATAGAAAAACGTTAAAATCGAAACTCGAAAAAAAATTAAATCGCGATGCTTCATTTTTAAAATCGAATCTAAATTTTTGAATTTCAATCTCTAATTCGAACTCGATACTCACTACAAAATTGTGATTTTGTTACCAAAGTTCAAGGATTTCAGTATGAAAAATTCATTTAGACGTACATTTATGTGAATCAATTTCACTGAATAAAATAAAATTACGTAATAGCTTTAAATCCTTGTATTTGTTATAACATATGATTCAAAAAAAATAATATGAATATACAAAAAAAAAACAACTTAAATATTGCATAATTTATATCACGGTACCTACTTTCATATTTTAGTAACTTGAAATACCTCATAATCATCTGGTTGAAATTTATTTGGAATATCAATTTTAGTATAAGAATGTGGGTCAGCATAACTAGAAGTATTATTACAATTAAGATCATGACCATACCCAAATGTTGGACCATAATGTTGATGACAATATATAGCATATTGAGCATTATTATTAATAATATAACCTACTTTTGCAGTTTGAAGGTTTGTTCTATTTACGAATGAGAATATAAAACTATCATCAGTTGACTTATAATCATTATTTCCTTCCCAACCAATTGGGTTATATCCTCCAATTATTTGTTCTGAATTAGTAAGTTTTACTATAACTATAGTAGCCCCTTTGTTATCACATTTTTGATGAAATGCTGCAGGTGTGTTGCCATCCCTACTGGCACGATAAAGTAAGTCGAATTTATAAGGAATCCTTTTTTTTTCGTAATGTAAATTTTCTTTCTTATCAATCCAACTCGAAAATATAGCAAAATGCTGAGATTTAACTAAGATTGAATCAAATTTCGACTGTCTAGGTGGTTGTATATTAATATTTAAATTCTTTTCTGGTGCCAAAGAATATGCAAAAAAGTTAATAAACAAATCCTTCGGTAGTAATTCTTTAAAAGGAAGCACTTTTTCAAGAAAATCTTTTGAAGACATATAATTAAATCTAACCAAAGGGATAAATTTATGTAGAGTTCTTTCCATAATTGTAGTTTCTTCTTTGCTCCATCTATTGACATCTTTAGTAATGGACGGGTTCTGACCAAAACCCCACTTAATCAAGCTATCCCAAATATCAATTTCATCTAAAATTAAATCATCTCGTTTTAAAAGGTATTCTAATAAAGGTGCTTTTATACTAATAAATTTATCAGAATTAAATATTTCTTCGGGGTCTTCACAAATTTTTTCAAGATAAAAATTCCGTAATTTCGTAACGAACTCATATTGATAAATTATTTCAAGAATTACTATAGGATTTTTTTGTAAAAACCCATGATGTTCTTTAATCAAATACTCTTCAATTCCGGGAACTAAAATTTGGAGATTAAGTGCATCTGCTGCTTTTAAGAGCTTTAATAACTCAGGACCTTCTAATTTCGTCAAGTCAACCTTTCCGCAATATATAAATCTGAAATTCAAAAAGAAAATATATTTATTAGTAACTTGGTTTATTTTATTTTCGTGGTTGTCGTGCATACTATTTAATTTATTTACCTCAAGATAATTTCAAAAACTTGTGGAGGAATACTTGGTAATTTTAAAATAAATTTCCCTTCCCTTTTCTCAGCATTTTCCTTGGTTAATTCATCATAAAAATATTGCGACCTGATACATAAAATATTTGAAAGAGCATGTAATTCTTTAACGTTTTCATTCTCGCCGGCATAAATAATGACATCATATCTTTTGTCATTTTCAAGTAACCTTTCATAATCATTAGCAACGTTCTGCAAATATTCTAAAGTCATTTTTTACAGAGGTGAAAAATTAAAAAAAAAAAGAAAAAAAAATTTAGGAAAGTTATATATTAATTTGGAACTGGGCAAACGCTGCATGCATGATTATAATAATAGTCTTTATTGAGTTCTATTTATGATGAGAATGTGCTCCAATTTGAGGTCCCGTTAAGGTCCTAATAGATGCACAATAAACATGAATACAGATAATAGATAACGAACCCGTTGTATATATGGTATGGTGAATATTTCTATATAAAAAAACCATGCCATGCTGTATAGCTTTTAAATTGAAACATAAACATACTCCAAAATTCGAATGATACATTTAGTATTAACCGAAAATAAACGGAAATAAATAGTTTTTAAAGATCATAATTTTTAATAATCAGCTATTTTTACGATTGACTTTCCAACATTATTACCGACCAACATATCAGTGAAACCCTTTCCAGCATTTTCGATACCCAAGATATTATTTTCTTTACAAATAATTTTACCGGATTTAACCCATTCTAACATATCTTTTTCAAAATCCTTTTCGACTTGACTTCCAATAAAATCCGTTGCGAGAAATCCGTGAAAACAAATACTTTTATGAAAGGTCAATTCCAAATTTTTTATTCCATACTTTTCTTTTGGATTTGTAATATTATATTGTGATATCATGCCACAAACTGGTATACGAGCGAAGCGATTGCAATGTTTAAGGACTACATCGAGAGTTTCGCCGCTAATTTTTATTTTTATTTTTTTTTAAAAAAAAAAAAAATGAAAAATGAGTGAGAATTAACGTGAAACACGTGATTAAAAAAAACCAAGCTTATATTATTTATATATACCCGACGTTTTCAAAATAAATATCAATACCGTTTGGACAAAGTTCAGATAAAGTCTATAAATTTATAAAATATGTAAAGGTTCCACAATTCCTAATTGAATAAAAAAAATATATATCATTTATCATACCTTATCAAGGTCAACTTTTTTGTAGTTAAAGGCAGCATCAAATTTTAAATCATTCAAAAGGAAATTGACTTTTTCGTCAGTTCCAGTAGATCCAACCACTTTCAACCCTTTAATTTTTGCGATTTGACCAACGAGATTTCCGGTGGCTCCAGCAGCACACTAAAAGAAAATTTTCTCAATCGGATTTTTTTTTTTTTTAAAAAAAAAACAGAAAAATTCAACTTTATTTACATACCGAAATATAAATTGTTTCTCCTGCTTTTGGTTTTCCGAGAAGCATTAAAGCTCCGTAAGAAGTCAATCCACTAAACTGAAGGAGGCTAACTTGATAACTCAATGGAATCTCTTTTAATAATTTTTTATGATAATTAATGTTTTTAAAATGGTAATCGTTTGTACTTTTAGCATCAGTCTTAATATGAGTGTATTCTTCCCAACCTAAATTAAAAAGAAAGAATTATTATTCAACTTTAAAGGAGGTTTTATGCTTTAAGTAAAAATCTAAATTATTTACCGATAAATCCATAAACAAGATCTCCAACTTTATGATTGGGATTATTTGATTTTACAACTTCAGAAACACCAATACCACTCATAATATGACCGATTAAATTTGATGGCATATATGAATCAATTTGAGGTTCTCTCATGGTCAATCGAACATAAGGATCTAAAGACAAATAAAGATTCCTCAAAATAAAATCATTTTCATCCAGTTTCAAATTTTTAATATCAATTGTACGATGAATTACTTCAAAGTGTACGTCGGGATTGGGTAATCCTTCTGGAATAGCCTTGAAAATGGTCCCTGTGTTCGATACGGCTGACATGATGTAATTTAATTGCCAATAAAAAGTTAAAAAACTTGTAGAGAAGGAAATCACTCAATATTTGTATTTATATGAATCAGAACCGAAGATCTGGACAAAAAATCTTATCGGCTAAAATGATTAAGAGAGTGTTAGGTGAATATCAAACGAATGAGGGTTAATAAAATTTATGCATCTTTTATTAAAAATAATTTGGAACGAAAATCATCTTTTCTATAAAGGGAAAAAAAAATATATTATCTATTGATTAAATTTTATCCGAATAAGCATCTTTTGTACTTCACTTAATGAACTTTTAAGATTGATTTTCCATTTGTCGATTCAATAAAATGAATAGTATCTTTAACAAGGAGTAGTAATAATTCTCACGCTTTATGGAATTTCCGGCCGTGGAAATTAATGCCACGACAATAAGATCCGATAATTTGGATTTGCAAGCTGCGTACTATTTTGTCTTATTTACCTTATTTAAGGTTCGATACTATATTTTCGATCGAATATTCTATTTCATAATCTTAATAAAAAACATTTTTGGACTTATTTTATTGTTTTAAAAAATCTAATAAATCTTAATGACCTGTAACTTGATTTAATTCATAATGTTCTCATTAATTTTTATTAAAGTTTAATCGAAATGGTAGATATAACTTGATTTCAATGTTGACAACAGTCTCATTTGCATTGAATAAAGCATAATAATAGTTTTTCGTTGACGTCATTACCCAAGATACCAGAGACTTTTGATATTCCTTTTGATTTTTATTTGGTACTATATGCCGTTATTGTAGAAAAAAATTAAACAAGAGGCTGAGATTTTAAAAAACATAATCTTTCCTCAAAACGAAAAGACTGATTAAATAAAATATGTAAAATTTTATTATCATTAAAAAAAAAAAAAAGAAAAGAAAAGAGAATATTACTAAATTTACATAAGGTATATACAGTATAATATTAATTTTGTTCCTCTATTTCATTTTGAACATAATCTTCAGACTCTTTTATGCCCTTGTCCACAGCCACAGTCAGAGTGACTATGCTAGAAAGAAATAATAAGACGAGTAGAACCCAAAATCCATTCCTGACTTCATGAGTAGCGTTAATGATGATCCCTGATAACATGGGTCCTAAACTGCTAGATCCCTACAATATTCATTCAATAAGATGAAAATGAAATTCGTCTTTGAAGAACGAAAAAGAAAAAAAAAAGCGTTCTTTTTCTACAAACCTTCGCCGTGATTAGATATATCGAAAAGAATTCACTTTCATGTCCTTTTGGTATCAGCCTACTAAACAAACTCTGACTATACGCTTGGACGCTACCTAAACATAACCCAAAGTAAACAGCAAATAACCAAATCTCCCATCTATTTCTCATACCAAATGGTAAAACAAATCCTAATAAAGTATATGCGGGTAATAATGTTAACAAGAATGAAATGATTACTATCATTGTCTTTGTGGTGAATTTAAATAATTTTTCTATCAAGTAGAAGAAATAAATTCCAAACGCTGCACATAATGGGACGACAATGGCGAGTATTAATAATTGAATTTCTGTGAGGATCAACGTTTTGGAACCAAATAAAGCTGCTAACGGTCCGATTGTGTTTATGCCGTCGCTCAACAAGAACCAAGAAATCAAGAATTTCATTGACTGCCTTAATTTACTTGATGTTCTTATCGTTTTAAAAAACCTCTTGTAAGGGTACAAAAATTTGTTTTCCGTGCTAAATATACAAAAGATGTTTTCAAATGTAAATAATAAATATAAAAAAGGATTAATGACAGGGAAATAAATATTGTGGTAACGGTTACCTTGGTAAAGGAGGTTCCGGATGTTCTTTTAACCATAATAAAGGGAATATTAACCAAAACAACCACCATCCACCACCAAAGGACATTGCGATTTGTAAACTATAATCAGATGAATTGAATGCTAGTACAATGCCTAATCCTCCGATTACTACCAATAAACCTGCTACAAATCCTATACTTGTCGTATTTACTGATAATTTAGTTGAAATTTTCTCTTCAACTTCTAACAATTTTTCTCTGGGTGCTTTGGATTTCTTTAACAATAATACTTCCGAGTGTATACGTGAAAAGATTGGAATGTGCGCCAGGTGAAATACATATGCCGCACCGAAACAACAGTTACTAATAAGATGCAAGCAATTCAATGATTAGTGATAATGAATTACAATACATATATTTGACGAATCATCTGATACTTACGAGACTATGGTTATGATGCTTGCGAACCAATACCATTCTGAACCAAAAAGATAAAAATAATTTTAATAAATTTTCAAAATGAACGATATTGTGAACCTTGAAAAATATACGTACCAGGTTTTATCACCAGCGCGTAACAAATCGTAGCAAAAGCTCCAACGGTTGAAAAAAATAAAAGGAATTTCTTTCGATTTGCTGAGATATAAAGTCAATTATTATTATAGATATCATATGTAAATTTCCAATTCAAAAAAAAATTAATTATAAATACCCCCATGATCGGCAAGAGAAGAGCAACTGATAAATAGAATAGATTGTAAAAGTACAGACAATGACACAACATAGAAAGAAAAACTGGCCGTATCAATATAAAAACCTGCAATGTTTATTACACATTTATGATTTTGTACTTTCTATCATGTAGTATTTAAAGTCAATAAATAGTTTCTAACAAGTGAAGTTCGACCAAAGAATAACTTACAGTATTACAAGGAGTAACGTGATCAAGTTCATAACCCGATATGCTTGCAAGTCTTTCGAGTAAGACGGGGGCAAAAACTAAAATTTAAATAAAATTAATAAATTGTGTTTTTAAGATAATATTTTGAATAAAAAAATATTATTTACATCCAGCTATCGCAATATCATAAGCTCCGCACTAAAAAAAAAAAAAAATTTTGATTAATGAAAAAGCATGTGAATATTAACATTTTGTTGTAGATTATTATTAAATTAAATTACTTACAGCAAAATTATGAAGATACCATCCTTTCAATTCTTTTTCCGTTACGGGTTGTTCCTCATCATCGACGAATGTTTCATTATAAGCGACGATATTTTTCTCATCTTGTAAAATATTTTTTCTCTCCATTTTTTAAATCATTAAAAAGGTGGTAAATTATGATCATTTTTAAAGATTTTTTTTTTCGGGGGATCAGATAACGTAATGTTTTTATAATTTATAAATTCGGTAAGATTTACAATATGAATTTCTGAAATAGGAACAAATCACTAAAACTGTATAGCATTTATATAAATTTATAGTATTTTAAAATATGTCCTAATTTGGTTTTTATGTTGACTTTATGTAACGTCAATGAGTTATACACTTAAGAATCACATGGGTAATACTAATTTATTTTTTTTTATTCGATTCCTTTTTTTATTTTTTATTTTTATTCTTTTTTAAAAACATTAATGGATAATATAAATAAAGAAGATTGGTTATTATGGCAATTCGCGGATTCGGCATTACCTACAGGTGGATTTATAGCTTCATCGGGATTAGAAGTGGCCATACAAACAGGATACGTTAAAGACACCGATTCTTTATCATTATTCTTATCATCAAGCATTGAAAATTATGCTTATTCCGCTTTACCTTTTGTAACTGATTCTTGGCAAGTTCTCGTCCCAACATCTGATGAAGAAGTAATTTTGGAAAATATTATAAAATTGGATGATTTGTATGAAGCATGTACAAGCAACGTTATTACTAAACGTGCTTCAAAAGCCCAAGGAGTTGCCATGTTAACTTTATTTAGTAAATCTTTTGGTGAAGAATTTGGCAATAACAGAAAAGTTGGAGATAAAGTTGTTGATAGATTGAAGCTTGAAGTTAGAAAAGAGAATGCCTTTGGTCATTTACCTATTACCTTTGGATTAGTTTCCAAGTGTCTCGGAATCAGTTTAGGTAGGTCAACATATATTTAGCATTTAATGTTTAATTTATCGAGATTGTATTAAAATTTTTATTTTTTTTTCAGAACGCGCACAACAATTATTTCTCTTTCTTTTCTCCCGGGCTGCTTTGTCTGCTGCCGTCCGCTTAAATATTATTGGACCTTACTATTCTCAAAGAATGTTATCTGAATGTCAAACTTTTGTTGAAACTTCACTCAAAAAAACATATAATATTAAAGCTGATGATGCCGCACAAACTTCTCCCATTCTTGACATTTTACAGGGTAGACATGATAAATTATATTCCAGATTATTTAATAGTTAATCATAATAATTAATTTAAATTTATAAACTTATTTGAAAAACAAAGTTTAAGGTTTTATTGTATATAATGTCTGACGTACTAATATGTGATATATATCCATTAGATGCTTTATAACTTTGAAAATTTACCATGTTCGAAATATGTCCATGTAAGTAGTTACTTGAAGAAAGACCTATAAAATTTCGAAGTTTAATTTCTATTGACCAATCAAATTTAGCAAATGAAATTTACTTTGAGCTTCGTAAGGAAGCAAATCTTATTTTGATAAAAAAAAAAAGTTGATGATTTAATAATAAATAAATAAATAAATAAGAAGTCGAGTTATTAATAACAGTATTTTTTTTTTTTTTTTTGCAAGAACTATATATAATCGATTGTCAAAGCAAAAAATGAATTTTCTGAATTTTCATCTAGGAAAAATCCCCTACATCAACTGTGAACTACCAACTTTAAAAATAATATGTTCTATTTAACCAAAATGATTTGAATTTGATAAGAACATTTCTCAAGGATAGCTTATGCCTGTTAAACGTAAGATTGCGTTAAGTAAATATAGAACATTTATTATTTGTTGTCCCACATGTGTGTTTATTAAGACAATCTTTTTTAACCATTATCTGCAAGCATTTGCTTAAAACTTTACAGCTTTTCTAAATTGGTCACTTTGTTTACTTGGCGAGAAAATAACATGTAGTAGACTCTCCATTCCATTGACCAATGTATTTCAATATCAGAGCCGGATTTATCCAAAATCTCCATCTCATTCGAAGAATAACCTTTTCCATTATGGTGTTACAAGACATTTTTCCTAGGTATGTATGTACGAGGATGTTTTGTTCAATGTCGAATTAATTATTATTTCTGAATTGAATATTCTTTGATATAATTGATATAATTGATATAATTGTAAAAAAAAAATCCTGAATGTTGTAACATTATGACACGTGGTTTTATAATTTCCAAAATTATTATTTCAAAAGCCACCTAAAACAATTTCTTCTTTTTTTTTTATAAAAAAGTAAAAATTAAAAATAAAATAAAATAAAAAGTGAATAAAATATCTTCAAATATACCAAACGATATTTATCAAAATATTTTGGATTTATTGAAGAAACTGATACGAAAACATTATACTCTTGCCTTTTCGTAAATCGAAGAATATCGAAAAACTTGTACCCATCATCTTTTCATTTCTTAATGATGAAACAAAAGATTTCCATAAAGTACAAAATCAAAATCTTGGCATCCCATATACACCGCTTTTATTTGATTACCCTTGTTTCATCAAGGAAATGAGACTAGAAATATTAGACCTATTTTATGTGATGACTTTACAAAGAATGAATTATCATACAATTACAATTTAATAAAATAATTTTTCAAAAGGTTCTTCTAATCATAAAAAATAAAAGAAGATTTTTTTGAAATGATTTTTAACGTCATAGTCAACCAATCGGAACGAATCGAAATACTTATATTATGCGAGCATGATACTGATTACCAATATAACTCGATTAAGATATTATTTTATCAATCTTTATTATCTTCCACACCTAAAATTGAGTATCGTTTAAAAACCTTCAAAAGTTGGTATGCATGGAAAATTGGTTTAGGGAAGAAATATTCATCAAGTTATCAAATACCTCTAATAATATTAATTACATTCATATGTGTACAATCCAACACTAAAAGATGAAAGTTTTACGAAATTGATCAAATCTCAAAATAATTTGGAAAAGATCATTATCTCTTGTTATAATATGCATAATTATATCGATGAATTTATGAAATCATTGATTAATCATACCCATTCATTAAAATCAATTAATCTTGAATTGGGAAAGATTAAAGAAAACAATTCCTTAAGTTTTTTAAAGAAATGTTTTAATTAATCTTAAATAGATTAGAATTAGCTTATGATTATGTTGAATTATTATTTGAAATAATTTTACCTAATCTTAAAAAACTTTATATTCATAACATGTATTTTCATGAACCTGCTTCTAACAAAATCCTAATTAACTCGTTTATAAACAATAATGGTAAGAATTTATTGGAAATCTCATTATTCTCATTATTCGTTGATCTATCGGATTACCCTTCACTTTTAATCGAAACTATCACGGATTATTAACCTCTTTTAGCATTAAGATACGTGAAGATGAAATACCAAAATTATTTTATTTAATGAAAAATTCGAAAAATTTAAAATTCCTTTACATCCTTTTTAGTGATTTCATTTATTTACATTTAACCATTAAGAAAAGTTTAAAGGAATTTGCTCAATATATTTCTTCTACATTAATCACATTGGATATATCCAAATGGTTAATTTCTTTTAAAATACTAGAGAATTTTCTTGAGAATTTATATCACCTAGTAAGAAATTTCAAGTTTAAATGTATTGGAAATTCAGAAAAATTGAAAATTTTCTCATAAATTATGCTAAAAAAAGGATTTGATGATTATTAATCTTCATATAGAAGAATAGGTTGTAATATGTTAAAATTACATTCAAAAGTCATTATTGAATGGATTAATTATTAAGGTGATTGTAATTATATATACTGTATATATATAATTGATTTGTTTTAATTTTTTTCCTAAAAATTATTAAAATATTTTTTTCTTATAAATTTCTTTATAACTTTATATATAAAAAATTAATAGTTATGTTAATTATATAAACATATTGGAGGTTTGCTAGGAAAATGGGACTGAGAATTTTTTATTAAAAGTTTAATTTTTATTGCATTTTAATTTTTGATAATGTTAGATTAAAATGCAATAAATCTTAAAATTTTAATAAAAAATGCTCAGAACCCCATTTTCCTAGCAAACCTTCCATATAATAATATAATAATTAAAAGTAAAATACATAATATTTTTATTAAATAATTTAAAAAAAAAATTAAAAAATTTATATTAATTTTTTGAAATTATAATAACATTTATTTATAGTTAATTAAATTGCTTATATATAATTTAAAATTAAAAACTAATTATAATATTTTACTATTTACATTTTTTAATAAATACTAATGAAAAATATTTATTTTACTTTATTTATTAAAATTATTTAAATATATTAATAATTTTATTATTATTATATATTTTTAATTAGATATTATCCTAATAATATTTATTAAAATTATTTTTTATAATTATAAATTATTTAATCAATTCTAAGTTTTGTATTAATCAAGTTTTATCAACTTTATTATATAATTTAAATTATTTAAAAATAAGTTTTTAAACATTATCAACTTAATTATATTTTTTATTTTAATTTTTTTAAAATTAGATAAATTAAAATAACATAATTTTTTTATAATAAAATCTTTAGTTTTTATAATTAATTGTATTTATTTATATTATAATATAATATTAATATTAAATTTAATAAATAGTAATTAAATTTTATATTTATTTATTTTTAATTTTATTACACTATTTAAAAACATATTTTATATAAAAATTAACAAATTAAATAAGTTTAAATATAAAATAATTAATTAATAAATAAAAAAACTCTTTTCTAATAACTACAAAATTTACAAAAAAGATCAATAAAAATAAAATTATGCTAAAATTAAAACTAACAAACATATCAAAAAATAAATAAACTAACTTAACCAATGATAGTGAAGCTTTTGATTCTTCTTCAAAAACCACTAATACTAATGAAAATATTTCTTTTCTAAAAAACAAAAAATTTCTTTACTTACAAATGAACAAACAAAAGATAACAACACTCATAACATTATAGAATATATAATTTTAGAAATTGATACATTCCATACTATGATATTAACTTCAACAATAATATTATACTAGTCAAAATCATTTCTTTTAACATTAATATATTTTGGTAAACATTCAGCTGATTCAATTATGTAATTTGACAAAAATTCAGCTTGAGTTACAAAAATTAATAATCATTTATTATATTACATATAATTTAATATTATTTTAGTATTAGGATCTTTTGATAAATATTCAGCCAATTCAATCATGTGATTCAGAAAAATTCAGTTTAAGCTACAAAAATTGGTAGTAATTTGTTATATCACACATAATTTAGCATTATTTCAGCATTAATATCTTTCGGTTATAATATTTAGCAAAATTTCAGTTAGACTCAAAATTTGGTAATAAATTGATTATATTTCACTAGTCAAATCTATTGAGCTAATTTTTGCGAAAATTATAAAATATTTTAAGAGTAATTATCCCAAAAAAATAATACAATTATTCCAAAAAATGTTATATTTATCCCTAAAGGAATAATAATTGAAGACGTGTTAATAAGATGAAATTCATCATTCTATGCTTGAAAATAACTATTAAAATTAAAACATGCAATAATTTTTCTTCTAAGTCATTTAAAATTTAATCTTAATACTAATATTAGAAAATATGTTAAAAAAGTTAGAATAAATAATGCTTTCTAATAATAAATGGAAATTATTATGTAAACTTGTTGATATATTAAAAGGTTTTGAAGAAGTGACAACATTTACTTAGTGGGGCTAAATAAATCACAATTTTTTTAATATATCATACTATTTTTCGAATTATTTTAGAAATTAAATCAAGAAATAAACCATCTTCTTGTATAATTAAAACTGAAGATAAATTTGATAATATCGATCAAATTACTATACTTAAAAATATGGAATAAGTAATAGAAGATAATAAAGATTTAATAGAAATTATTTGTAAAATTGATAAAAACAAAAAAAATAGATATCTCTAACCCTTAAATTTATCATCTGATAATTATATTTTAAATATAAAGTAAACTATATATGAAAATATGATAAAATATTGGAAAACATCAGATATTATTGCTATGATAACTTTGTATTAGATCTTCAATTTAAAAAATTGCGATTTACATCTGAAGCTATAAAAATTCAAATTTATAAAGAACTTCGTGACATTTACAATGAAGAAAAGAAAATCAAATGGTAATTTTAACTTTATTTAACTAATTA